GGTTACTTGTGAGATTAAGGTATAAGGTATTACGGTATTACGGTATTACGGTATTACGGTATTAAGGTATTACGGTATTACGGTATTACAAACCTTGTTTACATACAATAATTCCCTATAAGGTTACTTTATTGTTCATGGTAGTTTCTTAATTACTATTTATTTTAATAAAATAATGTATAATCAAATTGTTCTTGATTGATTTTGAAATAAGTAGCTTATAGGGAATTATTTAGATAATCGTTGTCATATAAATGCTCATGAACTTTTTTTAGAAACTTTCATATGCTTGAAAATATTGTTACTATAATGTGGGTAAATCTAGTTAGGTGCTTAGAAGCATAGGTTGTTATGTAACGTGTTGATTACAGGCCACCACAATGTCACAGACAAAACTGTAAATAGGGTGTTGAATGTAATACTTATGTATGTCCATGTCTTTTGGTTGATTCATGCTTTGCACAACATGTAGAGGGATGATCGAAGGCTTAACAGCCTAATTTTAATTAGGTTTGGTGGCTGTTTTAGGCTTATAAATAAAAGTTGTGTCATGTGGACACTTGTGAGAGATGTTCGATCTGTAGTGGACCATTTTGGACCCTTTATTGTGCAACCGTTCAGAGTTGGTAAAGTCTGTTTATAATTTGCATTGACTATGAAGTGTTTTCTGAAATGATTGCTTGTGGATCCCGAGTGAGGCGTTTTCTCTAACCCGTTTTTTCTTTTGTAGGTCCTCAGGGATCATAGGAGGTTTCGGGGAGGTTGACCTTTGTGGATGAACACACAAGGGTGCCGCACGACTTAGGCAAAACCAGCTAAGTCCGTGACAGATGGTATCAGAGCGGGACAAGCACTCATAGAAACACTTAGCATGCAAACATGGTTGACCTAGCGGGGCTGCGTTGAGGGCAGTCAGCACGCGCGACTGTTTGAGGGAAAACAAACATGAAGATGTAGGAAAAAAGAGTCGCTCAGATGAGTGAGCATTTGAGATTGGTATTCAGAGGAATGACCAACCTTTCACGCAAGAGGCACTACGATGATAAGCAAGGTTCGCAATACCGTATCGTACCGGTATTTCGACCTGGGCTCGGTACCGGTACGGTACGGTATACCGAGCGATACACCTGGGTGTACCGAGCAGTACACTCAGGTGTGCCGAGTACTGTAGCACTGCTACAGTGCTACAGTGCACTCGGACCGGTAACAGGTGGTCCACGTACCGGCAACCTGTCGGACTGGTATGTACCGCCCGTACCGAGCGGTACAGTTCGGTACTGCAGACCCTGATGATAAGTAAGCTAGAAAGAATACGTAGCACATAAAGGTTGGGATGGTTGAGTTTTAGCTACGGCTCAACGTTGGCAACCGTACTCGATAGTGCTCAAGGCAAGCGAGGCACTTGGTAAATGATGAGACCATGTAAGGTGGAATGAGTTGTTCAGCGATTGAAAGAGTTGTGCAAAGCTTACAGAGGTGAGGTGAGGTGGAGTGTTCGTGACCATCCTAAGGCGACTGAAACTCGACGCCATGGAGCATTGAAACTTTTTCTTCAGCATGAGAAGGATTCATCTGTAGGAGGCTGAAGTGTGCAGCGAGTTTAGTATGTTGCTAGGCCTTGAGGGGTGCAGCGGGGGGGCTGTATTGATGTGGAGTCGTAATCTAGCAAGTGTGTTTGCGGGAGGCAGAACAATGTATAGTTTGTTCAGTAAGGCAGAGTAGTCCAAGGGGATGGTGGTCTTCGAAACTTTTAGAGGGAAGGAAACGAAGAGAGATGTTGTTCCAACGGACGGATATCCAAGAGGGATAAGTCCCGGCTCTTCAGAGGGAGAACCATGTGCAATAGACTGCACATGTTGAGGAGGAGTACCTCAAAACAACTCCACAAAGCTTAACGGATCGAGCGAGTGGCGAGGAGTCGTCGCACGATCTCGCTTGAGATAATGCATTGCGAGATCAAGTGGGGGAGCGACCGAAGACAACACTAATGAAGGCACACTTGCAGTCGATATGGAGACCAGACTTAATGGAGGGCTGACTCGTGGAATGGTGGGCCTGAGGACCATTATCAACTCAATGCAAATCGACGAGGAGTCGTCGCACGATCTCGCTTGAGATAATGCATTGAGGAATGCATTGCGAGATCAAGTGGGGGAACGACTTAAGGCAACACAAATGAAGGCACACTTGGAGTCGATATGGAGATCATACTTAATGGAAGGTTGACCCGTGGAATGGTGGGCGTGATGACCATAATCAACTAAATGCAAATCGAGGAGCGGAGCAACTTAGGTGTAACTTGGCGAAGTACCCAAGCCGTATGAAGGGAACATGGAGCGGAGGCACAGTGCTTTCCTTGGACAGAGGTCAAGGATATGAACTCTTGTAGAGGCAAGAGCACGATCATGCTGTTCTATGGGTCTTTTATTTTGATGGAGCAAACTCATCTTACATGGTGCCAAAGACGAAGGGAGCTTCTAGGCACATGCACCTTATCTTGGAGAAGCATTTGACGGAGGAACCAAGGCGACTCAACTTGCGGAGGCGAAGTTGGGTTCATAACGCCTTGGCACGGGGCAAGAGGATGTAGATGCGGGTACTCTTGAAGAATACGCCACAGTGCTACCATTCGAGTTGCTATGAAGGAAGAGGTGCGCAGCGGATATTGTGATGGTAAGGACAGAGGCCTAGGATCCAGACAATGGTGCACCAATTTCAACGAAGTCGATGGACTTCGGGAGCTACTAGGCGACAGACTGTCCTAGAGTTGTGCTTCGTTTGAGTGTGACCCGAGAGCGGGTGGACGAAGGTCGATTGCCAAAGGAGCGAACACAATCGAAGGTGGAAGAGACCCTATGATGTGTTAGCAGAGGCCACACATGGAGGGATCACAATCTGAGTTCATCTCACAAGGAACAGAATGCAATAGAGATGTCACTAGGAGGCGACATGGTGCAGCGAATCGTGGTGGAACAGTTCGTGGCAATGTGATACATACGAATCTAGTCTTGTGAGGGACTATATCATACAGAGGTATGATCGGGAGCTACTGGGAACTCCACTTCGGTGAACAATACGACGGCAAGAAGGGCTATGGATTCAAGGAGTGAAAGCCATGGTACTGTAGAGGCGGGTCTTCTGTGCATGCATCGAATTTTACATCGGATGAAAGCCTTGGTCATCAGCATATGGGGGCTGTGTACCACCGAGGGAAAAGTTCGAATGCAAGTACTAGTGAGTCCCATAGGAGGGAATTGATTATGCAGAGGTATGATCGAAGCAGTTGGAGAGTTGGACTGCTCCAGAGCCCATATTCGCTTAAGGGAGCTCGGCAAGTCAGAGGACAAGGCCGAGTCAGCGAACGTTGCTACCAAGGAAGCTAAGGAGAACAGAATCAATGCAAACCCTACAACATGATGGTAGAGGCCATGCATGGGAGTTGCAGTATGTCTTTTCATCGACTAAGGGGAACTGTTTGGAGAACACAGAGGTGTTGAAGCAGGGGGTTGAAAGGGGTGAGGAAGCAACAACGAGTCTAGAGGGACTTAGCTAGCCAAAACCAAGTATCGGTTAGAATGGAGATGGGGACTCGGAGGAGTGCCATAGAGACATATCTACCGATTGTGAAGAAAGGGATGCAGATGTGAGGCGACGGATAGTAGGGCCATGCAATGGCAGCGCCATGGTACTGCAGAGGCGGGACTTTCGTGAATTCATCGATCCCCTTGCTCTCATGGAGGGAGAGCGCTTGATTGTGAAAGAGGTCGAGGAGGTGGAGCCTACAGAGGCAAACTCCAAGTATCGAGACAAGATTGAAGGGCAGAGGCTAGGGAACTTCGTAAGACCGGTGTCAACGAGCTTCTCATCAAGATAGCCGAAAGTGAAGGACTTCGGGTCTTACAAGAGTGCACGACCAAGGAACGAAGCAGGTAGTATGCGGTGTTGTACCTTTTCTACTCAATGGAGTAGGTGACAGGGTTGATGAAGAAGATGGTACAATCTTAGAGATGATTAAAACTATTAAAGACTTACTCCAAGTTGGGGTGAAAACTTCTTGCATTCCAGAAGTTCGATGGCATTGAGAAGGTGAATCACAGTAGCTAATTCAACGTAAGGAGTGTAAACACTTCGAGTGCTTCAGAAGTGTGAGCAAAGAATAGGCGAAGGTCAGTAACCAGCTCGATGTATGGAGTGTAACCCTCGAGGAGGCGGGCGAAGTTAAGTAACATTTGCCTTCTCAACTCTTAAGTGAATAGGTGAAATCGAGTATCCTAATTCTCTTAGCTATCCAGCAAAGGAGCTCTGCACATGTTCAAAGACTCTTCGAAGACACAAAATGAAAGACAATAGTTGTCAAATCCTCACCAATGGTGATCAGTGCTACTGAGAGTAGATTATCCGCTTCATTTTCCAATAGAATGCCAATCGAAAGCGGAAGTGATACAAACATATTTGGAAGTGACGACTAAGTGAAAGAAGAGTCGATGAGCAAATTTTATGAAAAACCCAAAAACTTCAAAAGCTTACGAGACAATGCTCGTTAAAGCTCCAATAAGCATCCACCTAGTTCAAGTAGCATGAGGCATTTGAGAGACTGGCGCATAGTAAGGATGGTCTTTTCCTTCATCTGAAAGATTTGCAGGAACCAACAGGGATCAACACAACTCAACCAACCCCACACTAGAGTCAGAGTCATTAGCGAGTTGAAGCAGCATGGCGGATCAAAAGTTTGACTACTCAACAACAGCGGCGAAGAGCAACTGGGAGCTAGGAGGCGCATTGTAGCTGGAGCAGAAGATTGAAGACTCAGCAAAGGTGAGGAGTTGCAGCGTCAGCAAAGGCTTCGATGAGGACGTCGAAGGAATAAGTGGGGGAGAATGTCACAGACAAAACTATAAACAGGGTGTTTAATGTAATGCTCATGTATGTCCATTTGTAAAATCTATTTGTAATTTTCATTTGCTATGAAGTGTTTTCTAAAATGATTGCTTGTGGATCCCGAGTGAGGCGCTTTCTCTAAACCGTTTTCTCTTTTGTAACTCCTAAGGGACCATAGGAGGTTTCGGAGAGGCTGACTTTTGAGGACGGACATGCAAGGGTGCCGTACGACTTAGGCAAAACCAGCTAAGTCTGTGACAACATGTTGCCATGTCTTTGACCATTGCTAAGACATTTAACATAAAAATGTGGACATGATGATATAAACATGTCATTTCGTGTCAACCAGTACTTATGTATGCTTGTCTATATACCTTAGTACAATTGTATACATAGGCATGAATCCCTGGCCTATGTGTCATGTTGGTGTCCTGCCTGCAAGATATGTACAAAATTACAAATCATCATGTATAGGAACAGTTGTCGCTGCTGTGACTTTGTGTTATGACATATCCGTTGAATTTTTTATCATCCTCTTACTTGTAGTTATAATGTAATGCTATTATGCAACTTTAAACAAGTTGACTTTGCTAAGTTAATATGTTCTTTGATAAGTGTTATGGATATGTAACTTTGATAACTGTAGGGTGTGCCGGACCGAGTCAATGATGAAGTTTTCATTGCCATGTCCAAAGCACTCAACTTTATAAACCCCGATGAGCTTTCCATGCAATGTGTATTAATTGCTTTGAACCGTTTTCTTCAGGTATAGTATTTTTTCAAGAGAATGTTATGATGTCATAGTTAAGTTGCATCTGATATAATGATGTCATATCAAATCACAGAGCCTCACATATATTGTCCATCAACAGGAAAAGCATGGTTCAAAAATGGCCTTCCTAGATGGTAATCCTCCTGAAAGATTATGCAAGCCAATTGTTGATCATATTGAATCATTGGGTGGAGAAGTTTGGGTTAATTCACGAACTCAGAAAATTGAGCTAAACCCCGATGGAACTGTAAAGCACTTTTTGCTCAGCAGTGGAAACATAATCAGTGGAGATGTTTATGTAATTGCCACTCCTGGTATAATTTAGCTCACTTTTTATTCCTTGATGAATAAAATATAATGCGAGTTATTCAGTTTTGATTTTGCTTGCATGTGTTAGAGCATTGGCTAATATAATATTTTCATCAGTTGATATCTTGAAGCTTCTTTTACCGCAAGAGTGGAAGGATATTCTGTACTTCAAGAAGTTGGAAAAATTAGTGGGAGTCCCTGTTATCAATGTACATATATGGTCAGTCAACATTTTCTTATCACTTCAATGTTGGTTTCTTGTTATTAGTCCATATTCATATCGAACAAAATGCACAAAATAATTTGACTTTCTTCTCGAGAGAACCAAATATTAGAATTATCATGATGGCAGATACTGTGATTTACTGGTGTTAAAACATGTTTTCTAAATTTTTAAAAAAATTTCTTTAACTTTTCAGGTTTGACAGAAAACTGAAGAACACCTATGACCATCTTCTATTCAGCAGGTCCTGCTCATCAGAGTTTCTTGCACAGAAGTTTATAATTTTAAAATGCCTTGTCGGTATATTCATGTGTGTGTGTGTATGGTTGTATATGTTTGTCCCATGTGATTGACATGCCTGTTTCTTCAAGTACGATAATTATGTTTTATTCATGTTCACATGTATATCCTGTTAAGTCATATATTGGAAGTCAGAGATATCACATTTTAAAACAGATCACTTTATTCCATGCTTGACTTGGATATATTATACATGTATGAAAGGGACCAGTGATATCTGGTTAGGCTCCTGTAATTCAGAAAAATAGGATAAAAAGTTATTCATTATTGCTATTCAAGATAAATCATAAATTTATGTGCTGAAATTTTGGTATAACAAAGGATGATGCTTCCCTTCGCCAAGATAAAGAAGGGGAAGTCACCGGTAGCATGATTTTTTTGTTCTTGGATGATGGGTTTCCTGATGCAAACTGCATATTTAGTTTTAAAACTAATTGTTGTTTTATGTCCCTTTGATAATGATTCTACTTGTGATGAAACTTGTCATTTTATAGTTGGGTAATTATGAGTTCTGACAGACATACTTGATATTCTCATTGTGAGTTTATCAAGAATGTTAATCAAGTGGACGAGGTTATTGTGTTTGTTGTATAGATTGACTTAATTAGTTGCTAATGTCTAATCTAATATTGTGTTCCACATTGTTTCCTTCCAGGAGTCCTCTTTTGAGTGTATATGCAGACATGTCCGTCACATGCAAGGTAACAGCATATAAGTTACTAGCATGTATATGACACAAATTCTTGAGAGATGAGAATATATTTAAGGATGGCGTATTTTACACCTTAGTTTGTTGACTCTTAATTTTGCTCCTTCGTACTCTATTTATTTTTGGAGTAAAATAGCGATTCAATTGCATTCTGGACTTAAAAAATTCTCTTGTTTCTTTTTATTGGATGTATAGAAAATATCCTTGACCAGCAAATAAGACATTGATCTTTCTCATGCATGTCTTTTCTTAAAGAACAATTAAAAGAACATTCAGAATATGCTCAAACTAGGAAAATAGACCCTAATATGTCATTGTCGAGGAAAGATGACTTACGAAGCAATTAGATTTTCACAAGTAACAGACATTGGTACTTTTGGAATAAAAATTCATGTTGATGAAATAAGTTTAACAGTGTGCTCCTGTGGGATCCAATTCAACTGGATTCTTTCGTTAGATGAATTTATTATAACTTATTAGTGGTATTTGTATCATTAACCTGGATGAAAGCAGGTTTTATTATTAAACTAACATTGCCAATTTCATCATGTTTCTGTATATCGTGATAATTATGAAAGTGACTTTGTTGGATAAATATATACTAATAACTACTTGCATCCAATATAGTTTCCTCAACCTTATCTTCAGATGTTCTTGCAGACAACAGATCTGTCATCTTTCATAAAACTTACGTTTTGCATCTTTGGTTATATCCAGCAAGGTTAGTGCAATAAGTTAAGAAAAACTTCTCAGTGGAAACTTCTTTCTGAGTATTTTGAGAGGAAACACCTTCCTGAACCTAATATTTTCTTGCAAATTCCTCATGCTTCCATTCCTTCAGATTGTGATAATGTTTGAAGCTGAATTCTGAAAGATGCTGGATGTTATAAGTGATGTATTATTTGAGGCATGAAATTGAATATGCTACTTAATTGCATCACCAGCTTAATAGGAAATTTTTCTAGAACTTATTAAGGTCATATTCTGATTATTTAAATATGCATGCAGGAATATTATGATCCTGATCGTTCAATGTTGGAATTAGTGTTTGCTCCTGCAGAACAATGGATCTCATGCAGTGACCAGGAAATTGTTGATGCCACTATGCAAGAACTGGCTAAGCTATTTCCTGATGAGATTGCGGCGGATCAAAGTAAAGCCAAAATTCTGAAATATCATGTAGTAAAGACTCCAAGGTGAGACAAAATCAAAAGCACTACTTTGAGTGGTATTTTCTGCCATTTCTAATTTGAATTTTTGAGTCATCAGAGAATATATGCTGAAATATAATTGAATATATGAAGAAAGAATAGATAGAATGAAACCAGACTAAATAATAAAGAATATCAAATCTAAAGAGCACCTTACAAGTTGCAAATAAGGTCAAAACTTACGGTGAGCTATCAAACCAATATATGTGAAATGGACAATGTTAGTAAGAACCTCATTCGTTTTCTAAGATAAAAGGTATTAGAGGTTAACAAGGTTCCATTGAAGACAATATCATTGTGAAAATGTTAGTGAAATGCTTCATGTTGGTCAATAAAACCTTTAGAGGCCTCACACATTATTTTTGTTAAAATTTTAACCTTTCAGTCTCTAGTTTAGTGAATTTTGTTGTGAATATTGTTCTTCATTCATTAGCAAAAAATTGCTTACCTTTACATCTCTTATGCTGCATTTCATTGCAGATCTGTTTACAAGACTGTTCCAGATTGTGAACCATGCCGCCCTTTGCAAAGATCCCCGGTTAAAGGTTTCTATCTGGCTGGCGACTATACAAAACAGAAATATTTGGCTTCCATGGAGGGTGCTGTGCTATCTGGGAAGCTTTGTGCTCAGGCAATCACACAGGTATTTTTTTCTCCACTCCAAGAGTATTAAATGTCAGGCAATATCCTGGTTCATCTGCTTTTCCCAGCCTACCAAACCTGGGATTCATGATGGATGGACTACTACCACAAATGTCAGATAAGAACCTTAAATTTTAAGTTGGTATCATCCATCATGAGTTCCCTGTGCTGATAAGGTACGAACAATGGGCACCAAGTCATCCCAATGGTCTTCCCGTATGGTGTTGGGGTTGCGAGAGTTCCTAACTCATGCCTGTCTACACCAAATACGCTAGTGGCATGGGAGCCCTATCCTGAAACTTAAAATTGCTGTTCGCAATGTGCAAACTGCAATGTGCATCTTGCACCAGGACAACACAAGTAGTTTTCATAGATCATAATACTTTGGCTTGTGTGATTTGCAGGACTATGATGTGTTGGTTGCTCAGGCCGCCCAGAGAGAAGTCCAGGTGTCAATATGAGTGTCAGCTAGTTGATTTATCATTAACATCACTGCAAAAGGAATTTTATAGGCATAAGTCAAAATTGTTTCTGTAATTGGCCTTTCCAAATAGCTCGAAGTACCTGTAAGAGTCCAACTATTGTAGGAAGATTGCTTTTCACTCTTGAGCAACATCAAAACCGAAAGATCCTCTTTTACTGCAACTTGAGGATGACAAGTGCCAACAGTTATGTAGAATGAATATTGCCAGTACATTCTCATGACCACTACGATTTTTGCATCCATCAAATGAGATCATAGCACTTGCTTGGTGATCTGCTGGAAACAGCATTTGCACCACAACGATTCTTGCATTGAACAAAATTTGGCGATCTGGGGGATATAGCATTTGCACCAAACTTTATGAGCTCTCTGATTATTAAATGGGCCATTTTAAAAGCTTTGGCCGACTGTTCCTACGATCATCAAAACTGCAACGAAAAAAAAACACCGATTGCAGCAACAGTATCTGTTTTCCTGTACGGTTGAATTTGAAGCCCTATTTATAAAACCAACCATTTAAGTATGTATTTGATGTATTTCATCATGGAAATACATAACCTCAACAACGACATTGTGCAATGCTGATTCTTCAAACATAGTACCTCATTTTACACTGGAACAACTAGTTGCTCATTCTAAGTTAGGCATTAATAAGCTGCATAAAAGGAACATGACAACATTTACAGCTTATTGTATGTTTTAAGCTATAAATAAACACACCAAAGAACAGTGGCCTTATTGTATGCTTTATTGTTTACAACGTCAGGTTGCCCAGCCATTTCATAATTGGGCTATTTGTGATCCAGCTTCTTTGCCACTTCATCTGGTGACAGGGGTGTCAGATATCTGCCCTTGACCTCAACTCATTGCGGAATTTCTCCATTTTCTGTTACAGTTATTCACGGTTCTCATAACAAGTTCACAACCTTCTATTATTTTACGTTGATCTCGTGGACATCATACATTTTTACTGTGACTGCATTTTTTTTAATTAGCGAATTACAAACCACCCTTATACAGAATGCCATGGACTTAACTGGTTTTGCTTAAGTTGTACGACACCCTTGCGTGTCCGTCTGCAAAGGTCAACCTCCCCGAAGCCTCCTATGGTTCCTTAGAACCTACAAAAGAGAAAACGGGTTAGAGAAAACACCTCACTCGGGATCCATAAGCAAACATTTTTGAAAACACTTTATATACAATGTAAATTACAAATAGACTTTACAAGCTCTGAACGGTTGTACAAAAAAGGGTCAAAATGATCTATTACAGATCGAATATCTCTCACAAGTGTCCACATGACACAATATTTATTTAAAAGCCTAAGAAGGCCACCAAACCCAACTAAAATGGGGCTGTTAAGCCTTCAACCATTCCTCTACATGCTATGCAAAGCATGAATAAATAGAAAGACACGGACATACACAAGTATTACATCAAACATCCTGTTTAGAACTTTGTCTGTGACACTCTCCTCCACTTATTCCTTCAACGTTCTCGTCGAAGCCTTTGCCGACACTACAACTCCTCGCCTTTGCAGAGTCTTCAATCTTCTGCTCCAGCTGCAATGAGTCTCTTGGCTCCCAACTGCTCTCTACTGTTGTTTTTGAGTAATTGAACCTTTGATCCACTATGCTGCTTCAACTCGCCAATGACTCTGATTCTAGTGTGAGGTTGGCTGAGTTGTGTTGATCCCTGTTGATTCCTGTGGATCCTCCAACTGAAGAAAAAGGCCATCTTTACTATGTGCCAGTCTCTCAAATACCTCATGTTGCTTGAATTGGGTAGATGCTTGTTGGAGTTTTAACGAGCATCGCCTCGCAAATTTCTGAAGTTTTGGGTCCTTCCTCTAGAAAATTTGCTCATCGACTCTTTTTCACTTAGTTGTCACTTCCAAGTAGATTCGCATTACTTCCGCTTTCGATTGACATTCTGTTGGGAAATGAAGCAGATAATTTACTCTCAGTAGCACTAATCACCATTGGTGAGGATTTAACAACTATTGTCTTCTAATATCTTTGAAGAGTCTTTAAACCTGTGCAGAGCTCCTCTACTAGATAGATATTGTCTTCTAATATCTTCGAATAGTGTTTGCACTCCTTACGTTGAGTTAGCTACTGTGATTCACCTTCTCAATGCCATCGAACTTCTAGAATGCAGGAAGTTTTCACCCCAACTTGGAGTAAGTCTCTAATAGTTTTGGTCGCCTCTAGGATTGTACCGTCTTCTCCATCAACTCGGCCGCCTACTCCACTAAGTAGCAAAGGTACAACACCGTATACTGCCTGCTTCATTCCTTGGTCTTGCACTCTTGCATGACCCGAAGTCCTTTACTTTCGGCTATCTTGATGAGAAGCTCGTTGACACCGATCTTACGAAGTTCCTTGGCCTCTGCCCTTGAGCCTTATCTTGGTACTTGGAGTTTGCCTCTGCATGCTCCACTTCCTCGGCCCCTTTTACGACCAAGCGCTCTCCCTCCATGAGAGCAAGGAATCAATGACTTTCACGGAAGTCCCGCCTCTGCGGTACCATGGCGCTGCCATGCCCATGACTCTACTATCCGTCGCCTTGCATCTGCATCACTTTTCTTCACGATTAGTAGATATATGTCTCTGTGGCACTCCTCCGAGTCCACCTCCATTCTAACTGATGCTTGATTTTGGGTAGCTATGTCCCTCTAGACTCGTCGTCGCTTCTTTGTCTCTTTCGACCCCTTGCTTCAACACCTCTGTGTTCTCCAAGTAGCTCCCTATAGTCGATGAAAAGACATACTGCAACTCCCGTGCATGGCCTCTGCCATCATGTTGTAGGGTTTGCACCGATTCTATTCTCCTTAGCTTTCTTGGTAACAATGTTCGCTTACTCTACCTTGTCCTTTGACTTGCCAGGCTCCCTTAAGCGAATATGTGCTCTAGAGCAGTCCAACTCTCCAACTGCTTCGATCATAGCTCTGTATGATCAAGTCCCTCCTATGGGACTCACTGGTACTTGCATTCTAACTTTTCCCTTGGTGGAACATAGCCCCCATATGCTGATGACTAAAGCTTTCATCCAATGCAAAATTCGATGCACGCACGGAAGACCCACCTCTGCGGTACCATGGCATTCACTCCTTGAATCCATAGCCCTTCTTGCCATTGTGTTGTTCACTGAATTGATATAATCCATAGACCCACCTCCGTATGATATAATCCCTCACGGGACTATGTCATGTGTATCGCATTGCCACGAACTGTTCCACCATGATCCACTACACCATGTCGCCTCCTGGTGACATCTCTATTACAATCTGATCCTTGTGGGATGAACTCAAATTGTGATCCCTCCATGTGTGGCCTCTGCCAATACATCGCAGGGTCTCTTTCACCTTCGATTTTGTTCGTTCCTTTGGCAATCGACCTTCATCCACCCACTCTTGGGTCACACCTAGATGAAGCACCGCTCTAGGATAGTTCGTCGCCTAGTAGCTCCCGAAGTCCACCAACTTCTTTGAAAATGGTAACCATTGTCTGGATCCTGGGCCTCTACCCCTACCAACACAATCTCCGCTGTGTACCGCTTCCTTCATGGCAGCTTGAATGGCAACACTGTGGCATATTCTTCAAGAGTACCCGCTTCTGCATCCTCTTGCCTCGTGCCAAGACCTTTTGAACCCAACTTCGCCTCCGCAAGTTGAGTCGCCTTAGTTCCTCCGTTAAATGCTTCTCCAAGATACGATGCATGTGCCCAGAAACTCCCTTCGTCTTTGGCACCATGTAAGATGAGTTTGCTCCATCAGAATAAAGGACCCATGGAACAGCATGATCGTGCTCTTGCCTCTACAAGAGTTCATATCCTTGACCTCTGTCCAAGGAAAGCACTGTGCCTCCGCTCCATGTTCCCTTCATGCGACTTGGGTACTTCGCCAAGTTACACCTAAGTTGCTCTGCTCCTCGTTTTGCATTGAGTTGATGGTGGCCCTCGTGCCCACCATTCCATGGGTCAACTCTCTCTTGAGTCCGATCTCTATATCGACTCCAAGTGTGCTGTTAGATCCCTTTTTCTGAGCTTTTGAATAATGTTTATTGAGTCAGTTTAGTTTAGTTGTTTATTGAGTCTATTTAGTTCAGATAGAGTCGGGTAGAAGTTTATTTAATATTTAATTATTATTAAGAGTCGAAGTCCTGATGGACTCTAGGTAAAACTCTATAAATAGTGATGTAACCCTTTCTTTAAATCAGGCAATCAATCAATCAATCAATGAAATATTATTCCGGTTTGTTATGACAAACCCTAGGAGGCTGATACCCTCGAAGTGATCAAGGAGGTTGATCCCCATGAAGCGATCAAGGAGGCCGATCCCCTCGAAATGATCAAGGAGGTCGATCCCCTCGAATTGATCATCCCCTTTTCTTCCTTTTTTTTCTATTTCTTTTACAATAAAACCTTAGGGTTCTATCATTTGGTATCAGAGCATTTTACGATAAGACTTTAGGGTCTTATCATTTGGTATCAGAGTATTTTATGATAATACTTTAGTGTCTTATCATTTGGTGTGATCATTCCCTTTTCTTTCATTTTTTCCATTTCTTTTACGACAAAACCTTAGGGTTCTATCATTTGGTATAAGAGCATTTTATGATAAGACTTTAGGGTCTTATCATCTGGTACCAGAGTATTTTACGATAAGACTTTAGGGTCTTATCATTTGGTGTGATCATCCCATTTTCTTCCATTTCTTTTATGATAAAACCTTAGGGTTCTATCATTTAGTATCAGAGCATTTTACGATAAGACTTTAGGGTCTTATCATTTGGTATTGGAGCATTTTACGATAAGACTTTAGGGTCTTATCATTTGGTATCAGAGAACGATCCTTGGTGTTCTCGTTGTAGTGTTGCTATAGCTATAAAAAGAAAAAGAAAAAAAATTGTGTGAGGAAGGGTGAAGCCAGCAGCCACGAACGCCGATCCTTCTCAACCGAGAAGGAACCTCTGCGTCTTGGTCAACAACCACCGTTGCCTCTTCTCCACCGACGTCGCTACTGCCCAGCCAGTAGCCGCCAGCACCGCCGCTACCCCCTTGCTGCAGTTATCTTCATCTTCAAAAAAAAAAAAAATGGAAAAAAAAGAGAAGAAGAAGAAGAAGAAGAAGAAGCCACAGCCACCCCTGCTTCCCCTACTTCCGGCTAGCCCACCCACTACCGCTGCTCTCCAGTCAGCGATCACTACCGCCATTGCTTCCC